CAACTCACTAATCTACAACTCACTCATCTACAACTCACTAATCTACAACTCACTCATCTACAACTCATATAATCTACAACTCATATAATCTACAACTCACTAATCTACAACTCACTAATCTACAACTCACCAATCTACAACTCACCAATCTACAACTCACCAATTTACAACTCACTAATCTACAACTCACTAATCTACAACTCACTAATCTACAACTCACTCATCTACAACTCATATAATCTACAACTCACTAATCTACAACTCACTAATCTACAACTCACTAATCTACAACTCACTAATCTACAACTCACCAATCTACAACTCACCGGTCTACAACTCACTAATCTACAACTCACTAATCTACAACTCACTCATCTACAACTCATATAATCTACAACTCACTAATCTACAACACACCAATCTACAACACACCAAATCTACAACTCACTAATCTACAACTCACTAATCTAAAACTCACCAATCTACAACTCACCAATCTACAACTCACTAATCTACAACTCACCACACCGCATTGGACAACGTAGCTCGTCATTTGTTATTTAGAGATTTCCTTTGTTTACAGGTCTGTCATGTAACAGGAGAAAGCGAGTTATCTATGCAGCTGCACACGGTGTTTGATTTCTATGATATTTTTGTTCTGACGCCCCAGATATTAGACAACCATCTGAAAGACGGGAGGATAAAATCATTAAGCGAGTTTTCTCTTCTGATTCTGGATGAATGTCATCATACTCGAAAGGGAGAACCTTATAATAATCTGATGAAGAAATATCTGAAAGCCAAAAAGGCGAGAGAAGATGGACTTCCTCAGGTAAGGAGTACTGGTACACACTTTGGTATTAGTACACAATGGGGTAGTAGTGCATACTACGTGTGGGGTAGGGGGTGTGTGTTTTAGGACACCATTATCGCCATGTAGTTCACTTCCTTCTACCTCAGACCTCAAAGACAAAATTTTACATATTTTTACTCATTTTAGATTATCGGACTTACAGCGTCTCTGGGTGTAGAAAAGGCAACAACAGTTGGGGAGGCGACGATCAGCATTTTAAAACTCTGTGCCAATCTGGATGTTAGAAAACTTTCAACTGTAACCGTTTATAAAGACGAGTTAGAAAGAACCGTTCCTAAACCTGATGAAAGTAAGAATTGATTGTTATATTTGGATTCTATTGGACAACAGTTGGCACAATACGGGATAGAATACTGAGATATACGTATGATATATTGCAGCTGGACTGGGATTTTGGGTGCATAGACGTTAGCTGAGGGATTTTTTTGTAAAAAAGACCTGTACAAGAAAAACATCCGTTAACCAAAAATTTGACTAAATCCAGCACAATAGTGAACTCTTCAAACGAGAAGTACCATCTGGTGTTTAACAATAGTGAACTCTTCAAACGAGAAGTACCATCTGGTGTTTAACAATAACATGTCATGTTGTAAATAACGGGCTGGAAACTTACAATGACGTCACTTCCGTCATTATATTTCCTTAAATTGCAATTGGAGCCGTGGTGGCTCCAGCGTTCAATTCCGGCATTGGTCGAGATCATACTTTCGGATTTTCAACACGGTTTTCCCCCATCAGTGATGCAGGTAAGAGCGGCTGGCAAGGAAAAAGTGTGTAGTCGTTCAGATGGGACATTAAACCGAGGCTCCTATGTCCTGGCAAAATTTCCATCATTGCACTCTGCATGGCATTGCCCATCTTCATTAGTAAAGAAAATACTTATATTACATTGCATTTGAAGATACAATGTTAACTTACAGGAAGAGTCAAGTTACATGGAAACCGATGTGACGAAGCCAGGGACCAAATTCACAACACCATGTTACAAATAGAAAACCACTTAGACGAGGCCGTGTGTAAGTATATCTATCAGAAAATAAGGCACAGGGTCGAACCAGGCATTGCCATGATGATGAAAGGATGAAAATGGACATCATCTTTTTCTTTTCATTGACATCTTTAAAGTATGTACCATATAAACCGAGTATCACCAGAATATGAACTTAGCTCTGTTTAATATAAATAGTTAAACTTGATTCCATTTAATTAACACTACGCCCATATCAACAACTAGACATGTAAAAGTTTCTGACGTGTTGAAGAGATGATGAGTTTACTTAGGAAAGATCTTTGTGAGTAGGATTAATGCCTACTTGATTTTCTTTTCCTTCTTTTTACTAGTGACACTGAGAGATCGAGAAATCTGTGCATTGAAGAAAAAACGTCCATCGGACCTGAACAGCCAGAGTTACGGACAATGGGCGGTGGAAATAAGACGATCCGCCATGAAGATCATTGGACAGACATTGGAGAAGAAGGCGTTAACACGTACTATAGTTGTTACTGCTAAACAACTCGAGGTGAGTTACAAATATTTATAACACTGGAGGGGGTGGGGGCCGTACCTCGGGTCCTTTTTTGAATTTAAGAGGGCAATAGCCATGCTAAGGGGGTCAGGACCTCCCCTGGAAAGTTTTCTAGTCTAGAAAGCGGAAGTTTACATTTCACTCGATATTGGCAGTGAAAGTAGAATAAATTTTTCAATTTACTGTTCCGGGGGGGGGGGGGGGGGGGGGGGGA